TATTTTGTGATGATGATGAAGGGGATTGCTTTGTATGACTAGTATCCTCAAATGAAGTATCATCATATGGATTCCAAAACCTCCTTCCTCTTCTTCTTCTTCGTCGGCTTCCTCCTCTTCCACGTCTCCAATTCTATCTTCCTCCTCTTCTTGGTAGGTTTGGTTGTAGCGCCCAAAAGACATTTTTTTAAATTTGTTTTAAAAACTGAATGGAAATGTAAATTATTGGCGCCAAACTTTTCCCGCCAACCTACAAGAACGTACATCTGCTTATTGTTTGTTATTTAATAGTCACAAACAAAATCAAAAAATTACGACAATTCTGATCCGAGGATAATGAGGAAGAAGAAAAAAAATTGTCTGACATTGAAGACTCAAAATTAGTTTTATAAAATTAAAAAGAGAACTATTGAACTTTGAAGATAGTGATATTTCCATTGCATAATTTTGTTCTGCATATTCTTCTTGAATTTTCAATTCATATGAGTTAGTCTCGTATTCTTCCTCTGTACTCAACCATCTCAAAGATAACAATGTTTACCAAATATCCATTAAATTCAATTATGGAGATAGAATCTTAATGGAAATGATGGAAAACGAAATTTGGGCTTTGGAAACAAGTACAAGTTACTAGTTCAATCAAATGAAACACCAAACCTGATGGGTTTTAGTGTTGAATATAGGAGAGGAAGAAACTATTTTAATATCCATAATGAAACCGATATTTACAATTTTCAAAGTTGCTATTGGTGATTGGGATTTTTTTGTTGATTAACCCGTACGAGCTTTTTCTTTCTCACTCTGGATGTGATCTTTAAAATGAGCATATTTTCTTACTCACTCCAATAGTGAGAGAAGAAGTGAGTAAATAGTATGATAATTTATATTGAATTTTTTCTTGTTTTCTTTATTAAATTGAGTAGTGTAGAGATGTATCTTCGGTTTGAATGAATGAAATTGTTGTTATTCAATCCAAACAGCAAATCGGATCACTTTGATTTCTATCAGCTCTCACTTTGAAAGTGATCATTAAAAAAAAAATCAACACAACCTGAAGTGAATATGATATTCTCTCTTCGCAACATGGTCTACAACTACGTCCATGTGTGATGGGATGAACTAATTATTACTAGTAATATTATTAATAATATAATAACCAATGGTGGTTCAATTAATTTATTATGAATAGTATCTGTCTTATGATGACAATATCTGTATGGTGACGACTTCCAATTATTCTCTCTTGATGATTAATTAATAATACCAACATCATCATCATCACCACATGGTAATACTTCATCACATTCTTCATTGAGTTCAATATTGTTATCAATATTCATATTATTATTATTATTAACAATACCATCCGTACTGATATCAGTATTTTGTTCAGCATCTTGCAATAAGACAGTTGAATTAGAATCCTCATCAACAAGTACCACTTTGGCTCTAGCTGTGGTACCATCATCAACAGCCTTTCTATTGAAGAGTTTACTCTTTCTATCTTTGAAATTCTTGAGTCTGTGTTTGGATTCTTTCATGAGTGGACAGATTCTTGTCATGATTAAATCCAAAGCTCTGA